AGGGAATACTGTCAGTCTTAAATCTTATCTTAATGAATATTGATGATGATGTGTAGCAGTCGAGTTGTCACGTGCTAGCTAGCCGGTAGCATGCTGTTAGCCAGCCACAACAGCCTGCTAAGATTGACTTGCTCAATGTCAGTCAGCTTGCTAACTGACACTTAGCAAGCTAACTATCTTGGCTGCTAACCTGATATCATACCTCTTATGTCATGATGGACTGCAGACAGTGTGGAGTTAATATTAAAGTATAAAATTGGATGGTGCATCACATCTTATATGATAGCTTCCTTTGTTTTGGACTCTTCAGATGACTATTGCCTCAAAGTTTGCAGTAAGGCTGTGCAATATGACCAAAATGACCACTTAGAAAGGCCACTTTCCAACTATGTTGCGAACAAAATTAAACCATGCCAATGCAACAGAAGTAGCAAGTATAGGTGGGTACGGAGCTTGTTTTTTTTTTTTTGCCTTGCCTGGTCCTCTTGTTCAAAAATTACCCTGTTCTGTGCAAGCCCCCTAGCAAAGAAGGACCCGCTTTGAAGCCATTTTGACATAGTGGCCAAACTGTGTCATTACAGCAACGATGTCCATCATGTGAGGCACACTGGCCAAAAACGGTGATATAAATTTTTTTGAACGTCACAACCCCCCCCCAAAAAGACTTGTTTCACTAATCAGAATTTTGTTCCCATTCTGTTACGTTGGACATGTTGAAAGTCTAGAAGATCAGTTACAAAATAAATGATTTATCCCTATTCAAGTTAACTATGGTGGGCCACTGTAGCCCATAGGGCTTGCGCAGTATGCTTCATCTGGGTAATGTTCATTGCAGTGGGTTTGGTTTTTGGCTTCATACGCCATTGGAATCACCTTATCATAGGGAATTAAACGGCGCCACTGTATCCAACGTTGTTATCCCCAGTTCCTCTTTATACATCGGTGGTTTCTGTTTCACGTTCATTTTCCTCAAATTTAATTGCATAATAAGTGATGCCCACTGATTTTTGGCACTTCCACTGAAATGTACTGATTCTGTGCACGGATGTTGTTGTTATAAATGCTGATGTTAACGTTGCTAACATGGTAAAAGGTAACATGGGACCTGTACTTGTTTAGCGCCTTTCTAGTCTTCCGACCACTCAAAGGGCTTTTACACTACGTGCCACATTCACCCTTTCATACACATTCACAGCAAGAGAGGGGAGCAATTTGTATCAGCTATCGTTGCTCAAGGATACTTCGGCACGTGGCAGGGAGGGAGCCGGGGATCGAACCAACAACCACCGGAGATCGAACCAACAACCTTCCGATTGGGGGACGACCTGCTCTGCCTCTAATCCACATAGTCTTGACGGTATGATGTTCTCATTTGGATCAGTCTTGACTTGGACTCAGACCTCTTTGGATCATTTTTGGAATTGTCTGGGGGTCGACAAAGGTGGGTGTTGACTTGCAGCACTTGTCTTTCTAAAAGCTTACCAGCAGGTTCAGTTCAAAGCTATTGGCATAGCTAATAGCCCTCCAAAACATTGTACTGACCAAAGATTATTTGGTTAATCCAAATGGTTTAATCAGGCGTATTAGAAAAGTAGATTTCAATCACAAGTGTTGAAAACTTGACTTCCACTTATAGGATCCTTAGGTTAGGATTGTTGAAGCCCAGATGTCTTAAAGTGTTTTGGTAAATGGGTAGCTCTCTGTAGCTTTTTCAGCTAAAGCAATGCCATTTTTTTTGGTATTATGCTGTTTACTTAAACATTCTTTCTTTCAGTTCTCTCATTATACACCAATTTCCCGTGGGTCTTTATTTTCTCTAATCTGTCATCTTAGCTCTTTCTCCATCGGTCCAAGACATTTGCTGCACGTTCATGGATGTTTAGGAGGTGCTTCCTTTCTCTCTTTCCATTATCTCTTCTTGCGTCCATATCTGTCTGTGGACAGACGTTTTTTTTTTTAAAAAAATGGGGGGTGATCATGGGGGAGAGGCTCCAGTCATCCAAGGACCTCTGCTGTTACCCAAGACTGATCCTCCATTCAGCTGACAGTTTCTCACCAAGGCAGTTTAGATATGTAAATAGACCACTAACACCCAAGGCAAAAATGTGGGTGGGGTTATCCTTTACCTTTTCTACGCTGCATAGACTGTAGCTGGACATGAAGAAAAAAACATATCCACAACAAATTTATAATTCAATAATTTAATTTAAAAAAAAAAAAAAAAAAAAACTGGCTGATTTACTTTTTCATCTGCAGCCACCCTGGCCCGTAGGCTGTGGCTGAGCAGTTAATTTAGTTTGGCACTTTGCAGATTAGCCCTCAATTTCAGTGCACTTTCTTCTTACACCTTCTTTACTCTTGTAGCTGTTGTAACAAGAGTGTGCGATGTAAGAGTGTGCGATGTAAGAACCTCCCTAAGATGATTGTCAAACATCTTTACCTTTGGATAGCTTTTTGGATACGTCTGACCGTATTCGTTTTCCAATACTTGCCTCTATTTCCATCTGTCTCTAGCACCTCTACCACTGTCAGTCCTGGTACGACTCTCCTTGAAAGTAACGACTTCGGGGATTGAAATTAATCGTTTTTTTTTTTTTACTAACATGTGTACTAACCTTCACATTTCATTTTTTGGTTTACATTTGATTTACTTTACTCTTTTCACTCACACTGGTTTCTCACCTACTCTGCAAAGCAAACAGGCATTGGATTCGCTATGGTAAACACACTCCATTGTATGGTAGATATCATTCTTATTGTCATTTTTGGTTTGCTGTGTACTTCTCCCTGTCCTCTTTTTTGACTTCTGCACATTAAGATACAATCCCCCAAAAAACAAACAAGGAAATGGGTTTTGTATTCCCAAACTTTCGTGTTGCCCTTACTTTTCATTCACCTTGTTCATCCACTGTTGTTGCTTCTCTGCTTTCCTTTTTAATCTCTTCCTCTTTTTATTTTGTCACCCATACCTTTTGTTTCTCTAGGGTTTTACTAATTCTCCTTAATTCCAGATGAGATTTTTCTGTTCAGTGTTTTTTGGTGATAATATTGTGGAAACTGCCACAGTTGTACAGCGACCAAAAAAAGAGCAAAGTCACGCCAGTAATCTTGACTGTTGTCCTGTACACTATGTCCATAGCCTTACATGGACTGAATCCTCCTTTCACCAGACTGGTCATTTTCATTCACATTCCCAAACAAGTGAAAATACGAGGCAACCCACACTGCAGGAAGAAAACGGGATAAGAAAATATGACAGAGGATAAAAGCATTAGGAACAGACTTTTGTCTTGGGAGACACATTTTTATATAAATGAAAGCTAATGAAACCATAATAACAACTGCATGTGTAACAGTAAAAAAAGGGGAATGATACAGGGTTGAGAGAGGTCCTGACCTGATTGGCTGTGATACTGAAACACTAGCAGGGCTCAGGTGTGTGGTTTCACTCCAACACTTACTTAAGCTAAACAGCAGGTGAATGCTAAGGATTTTCCACCTTCAGCTTAGGCTACTTACCCATTTGTTTGTCCCTTATCTCGGCTTCAGATGGTGCTAGAAAGAAACAGGACTCTGACTGGAATTGGAATTCCTTGAATTGTGATATTTTGAAAGTCTAAAATACTTGTAAAATACTCCATCACACATTCCAACTTTCGTTAGTATTATCTGCAAATTATTCATAAGTGCTCACTATGCAGTATGGTTCCTTCCAGCAGTATTTTTTAGTGTAGTATATATATGTTTGGAACGGAGCCAAAGGCCTACCAGAAGCTGCTGAGCCCAGTTCTGTTGCCCCCTAGCCTGGCTCTGGTTCTGATACCCATTCCTGCCAGCACTCCTTGAGCTCCCTGTCTGGCAGAGCCAGCTCATAGACATATATCCAGCTAGTAGGTCCACTAGCTGCACAGCTAACTGACCTAAAGGCAGCTACAGTTAGCAGCAGATAGCGGTTACGCTGGTGATATGCTGCCCCTTATTTTTTTGGACTTTGAATTTGAACTGGTGGCCAGTTCTTACATTGCACCTTTAAGTACAGTACTTGAATGATGCGTTGAGTTACACTCTACGTCTGCTGTAGTTTTCACTACATGACATTGTTCCCAGACTGGTGTCCTGCAGTGTGGGTCTATCCTCTGCCATTCTGTTTCCTGCATGTTTGCATTTCTGTGGTGTGCCATTATTTTTTGGTCCGTTCCTGCATGTTGCTTCTATTACAATATATTTGTTAGTTTTCTTGCTCCCTCACTCATTTAGACACAAAATAATATTAAACAAAACAGTGAACACTACATGGTTTGTGCATCACTAGTGCTACATACAGATGAATATCAGTGCATGTTTGTCAGTGTCTGCAGCTAAATTCACCCAGTTATCATCTTTGTTTTGACATTTTACTAACCCTTCATACCTATCAATAGTTTCCCACAAATAGCATCTACTTACTCACATAAAAAATAAAGAAAATTTTGGGCTGACAGATTTTCTTTATATCTGTCCTGTGTGATTCATAACAAAGGTACACACACATCACCAGCTCTGAGATTTATAATTCACACAGACCTGAGTTCCAAAACAACACTGTAGGCCACTGTCTGTCCTCAAAATCCATTTTATTTCCACCCTCACTGTTCACTCTTCATTGTCAGGTAACGATATCAGTGGACGGGATTCTGACCACCACGGGCTACACCCAGGAAGACTACACCATGCTTGGATCTGATGACTTCTTCTATGTTGGTGGGAGCCCCAGCACGGCGGACCTCCCTGGATCTCCAGTCAGCAACAACTTCATGGGCTGTCTCAAGGAGGTAATGTGTCTGAATAAGTTTACATAAAATTGCACTGACCAATTTTTGACAACTAGAGGGAAAAATATTTCCAAAACAAGCTGTGAGACAGTCCAGACCCTCCCTGTGGGCTGAACAATATTATTGTCTCACTGGAGTCGTGTGTCTGTCAAGACAAAGAGGGCATAGTTGTCTGATTACTGGCCTTCCTTGAGAAAAAATATTTGGCTGTTTAACTGCTAGCTGCTGCTTAAAGATGCATATGAAGCAACTACCATGTGATACAATATGATTCGTCCCTATTGTGATGCAGTGCTATTTCGCACTGTTGTGCACCTTTGTCTCTGTCTCTGTCCTTCTCTCTTCTAAAGCCTGGAATCACATGTGCTCCATAACCATCCTGTGGTTGCTCGGTAGCTCAGGGCGTATACTGAAAACTTTAAACTGACAATGTCAGTGTCATGCTTGGGTGTTAGCTATTTCTGTTAGGAATACCATTGTCGCTGAATCTCACTGTATTGCTGTAACCTTACTGTATTTTCCTGTCTCTAAATATATGTCCCTTCATTTAGGGCTGCCAAATCTGTTCCCTTGAAGGGCGAAACAAACTATTGTATTGTATTGTTAAGATGGCAAATGTCACTAAGTTCCTACTCTCCCTGATGAAAATAATATTTAAGAATCAGTTCAGTTTTACCTCCAAAAAATAAAACAACAATCAGTGGTTTGTGTTATAATTTTTATTTATTATTTTATTGATATTGTTAGTATACATTCAAATCACAAAAGTTACACCTTTGTTTCCTTGAAAAAATGATAAAAACAAAAGTATGAAAACACAGCAGGTCTTCAAAACTAACATCTTTGTTAAAGGCAGGTTAGAGAACCTTTCTTTATGGAATTGTATTGCCTACACAAATTAAAAAATATATATCCCTGGTGATGTCAGTCTCTCCTAATAATGACTCAGTATAAAATAATTATTTTTAAATTATTAATTAAAATAAAATACGGAGAGCATGACAGAGGTCTGTCACACAATCTAACAGAACAGAACAGAACTTTATAAGTTATGAAGACTCTTAGCAGCATCCAGTGCTTAAACTGACCTTTCAACTCCTATCAGCAGTTACACAGTTACGTTACTCCTTCTTAAATTATAAGTCTTAAAATTATTCCTCAACTGCTGTCAGCTCAGCCTCCAGCTGACATTTCAACTGTTATCAGTGCCTACATCTTATCTGCTTTCAGTGCTTACATTTTCTTTTATCATTATTCAGACTTCAAATGACACTTTACAGTGTTTACACTGAAAACAGTGGTAACAGATGTCAACTGCTCTCAGCATTGTCACTTTAACTAATGCCATTCCTTAACACCTCAATTGACACTTCAACTCTTTTCAGTGACCCCTTGCATTGCTCCAGCTTCAAGCTTCACTCCAACTCCTTTTTAAGGGCATCAACTTTCTCACTTCCAGCTCGTCAAATATAGCAGCTTGGTCAGTGGCCCTATGCTTCAAACTATAACGCTATAGGAGCCCCTACATCATTTATGTGCCATCAAAGTCAGGTGACGTAGTATAAAAGGCCATGTTTGGAGGACGTCTTTAACTCAGGAGAACGCTGTTCGTGTCCCGTTTGAAACCAAATAACATTGTGGCTAGCTAGGTAGGTATGTAACTTTTATAAAAAATAATCTATCAAAGTTACCTACTGCAGCTTTAACTTGCATTACATTCTGTACATAAACTTTCATACTTACATACTTATTACTTATTACTATACAAACCACCAAGCTACGATTGTTTAAACTCATAACTTGTGAAATATTTCTCAGCAAGTTTTATCTTGAAACAGGACATTACATATTAATTATTGCTAACTTGACCGTGGAGCCCTGCACATGCAAAACTGATGCTAGAGGTACACCTACAGCCCCATAAGTTTGAAGTGGCCACTGGGGCCACTGACCAAACCTTGCATTTGATGGGTTGGTAGTAAGAACATGTTGGTATACATACAGTATATCAGCTCAAATTTATCATGTGGTCACGTAAGTCAAGATTACTGTAAAAGTTTGCAGAACCGACTGAAAACTGGGGAATGAAAGGGTCAGCAAGTAATCTTTGCTATTTTGATTTTGCTTCCGCTACAAATACTGTTCAAATTCACTGCATTAAAGTGGAGCCTCAGTAGAACCATGTTGAGGGAGAGTTGCCCCATGGAGTTAACCCACACACACACACACACACACAAAAATATATTGTTCCCTCAAGCTGATGATGTCATGTCTTAGCACTTGACTCGAGCCAGTTACACACACATACACACAGTACACAGCATCATATGGGCTGCAAGGAGAGGGAGGAAGAGGCACAGTGGCCATTTAATCCCCCCCTGGCCTTCTTCCTGCTCTGTGTCATGCCATGCTGGGCAGGTTTTGTGATTCCCTGTACCACCCACCCCTGACACACGTACATGTACACACCCACACACACGTCCAGATACAAATAGAAACACGCACACCCAAACATGCACATTAGTTATGAGTCTTTTATTTTCTGATGATGCAACACAGAGATAGCCAGGATAAAGGTGGTGTCACATGAAAAATATGAGACACACACACACACACATATTCGTGAGGGCTTGTGCACGCTCACACACATATGGTACAGGTCATTAATAATGTCCAGATCAGCTATTAAAACTGCTTACTGCTTAAAACTTAAAAACTGCACATAAGCATAATGTTTCAGTGTTGATTTAGTATTATTATTTTTTGTAACTAAATGAAATGTCACATATGCTTTTATCATTTTACAAAAAATAAATGTTTCCTACTATCATCAAAAAATATAGCATACAGACTTATATTAAACAATGTTGATAAAAGTATTTATATTTGGTTGTACTTGGCCTTCCCACTATATACAATAGTGTGTGAATTTGTACTTCATGAGTTTATACTTTGCTTTGACTTGATTCATTTTTACTTCACAAATGCTTTTCTTCTTGCTTTATTTACCATTGCACTAGCATATTGTCACACAAATCAGCTTAAAAAAGGATCAAAACTGATGCAGTTGTACACAGCTATAGGACATTTTTAAAGGTCCAGTGTATAGGTTTAGGTGGCTCTAGGTGGTATAGTTGCAGATTGCAACTCACTCTCTTTTTCCCCAATCGCAGGGAGAATCTACAGTGGCCATGAAATGTGTGAAAAACTAGTGCCCTATCTAGTGTTTGCTTTGTCCATTCTGGGCTACTGTAGAAACACGGCGGTTCAACATGGCGGCAGCCATGGAAGGCGACCTGCGACATCTGTAGATAAAAACAGCTCATTGTAAGGTAACAAAAACACAACAATTCTTATATTCAGGTGATTATATGCTAATGAAAACATAGCTATGAATAATATATTCCATTTCTGACAACAGATCCTCCTAAATGTTACACACTGGACCTCTAAGTGTTTATCAGTGTACACTACAGTATACAAAACAGCTCGCTAATCAATCAATCGTTGGCTACCTAGTTGCATCTGAAAGTTAATGTTAGCAAAACGCTTGTTAATTTACATCAGTAATTTGTTGGGTAGTTAGCTAGCATTTGCTAACATTTGCTAAATTAAGATGTGACTCTATGTAGCCTATGTCACTTTTATCTTTCAACTATCCTCAAAATGTGGCTTTTTTCAGGGGGAGGAGACGTCCTTCTTTTTTTCAACATACACAAGCTAGTACATAGCATATCCAAGTACAGAAAAGGAGAAAGTTGACCGAGGTTCCACCAGCTAGCAAGCTTGCTCAACTGTCATTGGAGCACAGAGCAAAAAGGGGCAAGACTTAACGGCCGTCCACACCAACAAGATTAAATATAACAATAACTAAAACAATGAAATTAAGTTCTTTTTTGTGTAATTTGCAGGCTAATATTTCATTGTACAGTTGTATACCACAATATCATCCATCAAATGGCTCTGAAAGGGATCCCATCGATACTGCTCACCACTGTCATTATATTAAGAACGATTTTTTAAACATTTATTTATAGCTATAGTTCTTGATGTGGATGGCCCTTTAACAGTCAATTGGGTCAACTAATTGACAGGTTTATTTGGTTGGACAAATCTGCCTGGATTCATATCATTCTGTCACACACTGGTTTGGCTCTACATTATTGATCTGGTTAAAAATAAAATTGTAAAGCTACAGAATGTGAAAGCACTATCACTTCATTCCCCACAGTAGCAAATGATACACAGGCACTCATTTATGCACACTGGTCACAAACACACTGTCTGTAAGATTGTCATCATACCTCATACAGTCACACACATTCTGCCCTCCTCCTAATCACAGGCCCACCCACCCACGGATCTGCAGCACCCACCAGCTCTCCCTCTGTCTGCCGTCCAGCACCCTCTCGTCCTGCACTCCCCGCCATTAGGGCTAATTTGCCTGCTGCCAATGCTCTTGTCCTCACCATCCACAGAACGGCATTACGGATAAATGTTTTGTTACCATGGCACCAAGTACTGGTCGCCTTTGGTAGCCCCTGTGGCTGGCTGGCCCGTGATTATTATGCCTTTCATAAGCCAGCAATTACAGAAAAAGCCTACATCTCGAAACCTACTAAATACATAATGGCCTACAATAACACATAATTGCTATAATTGTCATTGTCATTACACCTCCATCAAGCACTCATATAGAGCCTTCTGACTGTGCCTGTGTACTGCAGCCAACAAAGGACGAGTTCACAGGCTGAACACTGAGGATGAGCATTTGTACCACTCATTGGTATTATTCCTGATTTCTCTTCCACGACATTTAAAAAAGGTTTCCCGGATGTTACATTCTACAAAAAGAGCAAAAAAAATTAGACCAAAGGCAATTTCATCTTTTAAAGACTAACTGATCTTACTTTTAGTGATATGAATAATATCCCTTGTGGTGCCTAGTCAGGTAGTGGTGGAATTTAAAAAAAGTACATTTACTCAAATATTATGCTTAA